TCCCTCTTGAGATGGTTCGTCGAATTGGATGACGCCATAAGGGCGCGTCGCATCGACGACGGGGATATGCAAGTTGCATTTGCCCAGTCAAATCTGGCAGGACGTGCCAAGACTTGGGCACTGGGGCTCAAGCTGCACGACCCATATGCGTTTGGGTCGTTGGAAGTCTTCAAGTCGCGGCTCAGACAAACGTTTGAACCGCCTAGAGCTGAGTTCAGAGCTCGAACCGAACTCTTGAAGCTCAAGCAGGGTAAGCGTGATGTGCGCGCTTACGCTCAACATATACGACATCTCACGAGTTGTATAAGTTCCAATCCGGTGGATGAACACACGTTGGTTTCGGTGTTCATGCAGGGTCTTGCGGATGGTCCCGTCAAGACTCACCTGTTCCGGCTTGAACTAGATTCACTAGAACAAGCCATTTCAATTGCGGAGCAGGAAGACTTCAGTCTGAGACAGGCTCGCGCCAGCTCGACATCATATCGTCAACCGAGACGATATGACAACGGAGGTCCAGAGCCGATGGAACTCTGTTATGTAGAGAGCGAGAAGGCTCGCTCTACAGGCTACAAGAAGTTGCAGAGATGCAACAGATGTCAAAAGACAGGACACTACGCTTACGAGTGTAGTGCCCCTCGTCCAGTGTCTCGCGACACTGGGCGTAGTGACCGTCCACCCATGAGAAAGGGGCAGGGACGAGGGTCCGCAGTTGGTGCAAAGACGCAACAACGGGATGGACCGCCAAAAAACGGACAGGATCAGTAGGTGCGGAGCACCCTACTGATCCAGCAACGTCAAGAGAATTTGTAGGCCTCTTGATGAAGGTTGCTCCCAACACACAGACATTGTGCGTTGCTGCTCTAGGTAATGAGGACTCACTCATTACCTTGAAACTCGAAGTGACGAATAAGTTGTCCCTTCGAGCTCTAGTCGATTGTGGGGCGTCCAACAATTTTGTGCGACGCCAATCGCTAGAAGATGGTCACTTTAAATTCAGTGAATGTGACACACCTCCTACGAGGATGACGGTACGTCTTGCGACAGAGCGCATCCGTAACCGTCATGAAGCGTATAGTGAAGATTCACTATACGCTAGAAGATACCCAATACGACGATGACTTTATCGTATTGGATTTGGATGACAAATTTGATGTCATCCTTGGAATACCGTGGCTCAGAAGGTACGAACCACGGGTAAACTGGCAACATCGAACAGTAACGATGCCTGCCGCTTGTTCATCAGATGGCCATCTGATGAACGTTTTGGAAACGTCCACAAGCGTGTGGATGTACTACGAGTGAGTGCGATGGCCTCACTTGTGGTACGGTCGTTAGTACGACTGCACAAAACCTTAGTGTACCAAACGGTTACACTTCGGAGCAAAGTTCCGGCGGCTGTGAGGAAACACAGGCTGCGCCGAAGGTCCACCACTCGAATAAGTCGGGTGGACTGGGACAAAGATGTATCCCTAGTGGGGAACATCTAGAAGAGAAACAATCGATCGCTCAGGTTAAGCGAAACGATAATCCTAGATCGACTGGAGAGTCTTTCGTAGAGGATCTCGCTGTGGTTGCGCAACCCCAGCTAGAGGAAGTAAAGGGAATAAGTCCCAAGATTACAAATACGGCGGAAATAAGTTCCCCGAAACCCGCGGGAATAAGTCCCCGGGAAGACGAAGGAATAAGTCCTTCGAAGCCTGAGGGAATAAGTCCCCAGGAAATGACAGAGACATTGAATGTCATAGTCAATAACGGATCATGTGTAGGCGCTTATACACTTGATCTGATTGCGCCTCCGAAGTTAACTTCGGAGATCACTCAGTTGCCAACGCTCGAACATAAAAGATTCTTGCGTGATCTGCGTAGTGGCAAAGTCAAGCAGATCTGCATACTCGTCGCTGAAGACGAGTATGTAACCGACATAAGGTCAGCAACAGTGTTTACTGAGAACGAGAGAGTTCTCAGTAGTTCATCTATGGACGAGAGTGTCCTAGATGAAAAGACACGAATCGAGCGATATGAGTCCCAATCATGGGAATCGCTCAAGGAAAATCCTCTCTATGAAGATTTGGTTGAATTCAAGGATGTATTCCCTGAAACTGTTCCGTGCGAATTACCGAAGGATAAAGGTATTCGACACGAAGTCGAGCTTAAACCAGGCTCGAAGTACTGTGTCATGAAGCAGTGGCCACTGCCTCGTGAACAAGTACTTGCGATCGACAAGTTCTTTGCCGATCGTTTAGCAGCGGGCCATGTGAGGGAATCAACTTCCCCACATAGCTCTCCGACCTTCTGTGTGCGAAAAGCAACAGGAGAGTGGCGGATAGTGCACGCGTTTAACAAATTGAACGCTGCAACGGTACCGGCTCAGACGCCTATACCGAGGAAGGACGTAATCATTGATGGTATGTCAAAGAGTACCATCTTTTCGTCCATGGATTTGATGGATGGCTTCTATCAAATCCTAATGCGGGAACGGGATATACCCTATACCGCAGTTAGCACGCCTAGCGGCATGCTCTGGGAATGGCTAGTAATGCCACAAGGGCTCAGTAATGCCCCTGCCACGTTCAACAGGTGTGTATCACATCTGTTGAGACCAGTACGAGAGTTCGCGCCGAGTTATTTCGATGACGTATTCATCCATAGTCGAGCTATGGATGGAAAGTCGGACGTTGAGGTTCACAAGTACCACGTCCGACAAGTTCTTACAATCATGCGAAAGCATCAATTGTATGCAAACCTCAAGAAGTGTATATTTGCAGCAAGCGAAATACCACTTCTTGGGTGCATCGTTGGTAAGAACGGTGTACGTCCTGATCCCGAAAAGATCAAGGCGATCACCGACTGGCCCGTGCCGGTCGATGTCAAAGGTCTTCGAAAATTCCTTGGGCTAGCGGCGTATTTGCATAAGTATTCACGCAATTACGCCGAGATGACTGTACACCTCTCTCGTTTGTTGAAAAAGAACGAGAGGTGGTTATGGAACGCTGAATGTCAACGCTATTTTGAGGGTATCAAGCAGAGCTTGATACAATCCCCAGTCCTAGCAATAGCCGATCAGGACAGGCCATTTCATGTGGTCTGTGATGCCAGCGATTTCGCAATCGGCTGTGCATTAATGCAGTACGACCTTGAAGGCGTTGAACGCGTCGTCTGCTATCAGTCGCGTCAGCTGCAACCAGCTGAGCGGAACTATCCAGTGCATGACAAGGAACTCCTTGCCATGAAGTATGCACTCGCGAAGTTCAGAGTCTATCTATTAGGAGATAGACCCTTCGTTGTTTACACTGACCATGCGTCCTTACGCACGGCAGTGAACAGCCCACACCTTTCACAACGAATGGCGCGGTGGTTGTCATTCTTTGCAGAATACAACTTTACGGTCGAGTACAAACCAGGACGACTTAATGTCGTCGCTGATGCACTCTCACGTCGTCCCGACTTTGAAACAGTCGCGAAACCCAACAGTGAGACAGTCACTGTTGCGGTTATGACGTCCTCAGTTCCATCTACAACGTTGTATGATGATGTGAGGCGGGCATACGCCCAAGATGGTGAGATAGTGAAGTTGTTGTCACATCTCTCCCAACCATCTCGAGAATCGTTGAAACGATTGTCGTCTGCGTATCGATCTGCATCAGATCGATACACTACTCGTAACGGTTTACTGTACTATACAGCCGTTTCTGGTGACACACCACGTGTTGTCATTCCAGATGATACTGATCTGCGTTTGCGGATCATGTTCGAGTATCACGATGCTCCTATAGGAGGACATCGTGGCCGAGAGAAAACATATCTCACGGTAAGTCGAGACTTTTACTGGCCCCGCCAGTATCAGTTTGTGCGAAAGTATGTTCGCGCATGCGAAGTCTGCCAACGAGTGAAGTCAAGTCCTTCACTGCGTGCACCTTTACAGCCTCTACCGGTTCCGGCTGAGTGCTGGGAATCCATCTCAATGGATTTCGTCTTCGGGTTACCCAAAGACGCACGCGGGAATACGGGTATTCTCGTATTTGTTGACAGATTCAGCAAAATGGTACACCTTGTGGCTGTACCAGAGACAATCACGGCAAGTGGCTGTGCTTGTGTCTTTATTGACACCATCTTCCGACTTCATGGGTTGCCCCGTGAACTCGTATCAGACAGAGATCCACGATTCACCGCTGATTTCTGGCGTTCCGTGTTCAAATCACTCGGAACGCGCTTGAAGATGTCAACATCTGATCATCCAGAGTCAGATGGTCAGACGGAACGTGCCAATCGTGTCCTTGAAGAGATACTTCGAGGATACGTACACTCCTTTAAGAGTTGGAGTGAGTTTTTGCCGATGGTAGAGTTTGCCATCAACAACTCGGTGCATGCGTCCACGACACATACACCGTTTTACGTGAATGGCTTGCGCCATCCGCGTGTACCCACCTTACTAGAGTGTGACCCTGGTTTAAGGGGGGGAGGGACTCGCGCGAGCAAAAACCGATTTGGTTCACGCTCATCACGCTCTGACGAAGAAGTCATTGCGTTTGATGCCGATATCGATAACATCGATATCGAAGAAGATGATGCCAGTGAGAGTGCGGAAGCCCTCACTGAAGACAATGATCCCAGTGAGAGTGCGGAAGCCCTCACTGAAGAAAAGGTTGTTGTCGCTGCAGTGCGCTCACAGCACACTGAAGCTAACGAGTCATCAGATGAGTTCATACTGGCTCGTGAAACGGTAGTCCGTTTTGTGCAAGACTCCATCGCCGAAGCGGTGGATAAGCAAAAGCAAAACGCTGACAAGAATGGAAGGGCAAACACTCTTTTATTTAATAAAGGTGACTTAGTCCTACTGTCTACGGTTAATCTACCAAAACATGTAGTGACTAACTTGGGTAGCAGTAAACTACTACCCAAGTACATTGGCCCATTTCGTGTATTGCACCGCCTAGGCAATGCATACACGATCGAGTTACCACGTAAGATGCGAACGCATCCCACGTTTTACGTTGGTCGGCTTAAGCCGTACCATCAGTACGCTGCTTCTTCCGATGAAGAACGCCCTTGCGCTCAAGCATCTCGCAGAGAGCCTTGTGCTCCCGATGGTGGGCATCAACAAGGGTCTGAAGAGCAGTTATCTCAGCCCGAGACCGATCAACAATCCCACGAGCTACCCTTAGCTCGTCACGAAGAGATGTCAGAGATCTCTCGTTCGCAAGCTGAGCAAAGGCAAACTCAGCTCGATGCTTCGAGGCAGTGTCCACCATCTGGAGACGCCTATTCCGCTCATGCTCGAGATCGTCGCGTAACCCTTGCGTTACGCGATCAAAAAGCTCTCGGGAACACACCGATCCACATGATCGTGTGGAGAGCGTCTTTCCTCCTCCTCCACCTCCATTAGAGGACTCTCGCGGTGGCCAGCGCTATCTAGTAGAGCAGCTGTTGAACCACCGCGACGTGAACGGACGTCGGACGAGTTACCTCGTCCGGTGGCGCGGCTATCCCCCGTCCTGGGATTCTTGGGAGCCCCGCTCCCAATTGATGGTTGACGTACTGGGTCTGGTCGAGCAGTACGACGCGACACATCCTGTGCCGCAGAAGGACCGCCGGAGAAAGTCTTCCCGGCACGGTCGTAAAGGGATTTCAGGTTGTCAATCCCTTCGTACATCTCAGTAGAGACACGTACGCGCCACCACGGGCTGGTAAGGAGGTAAGCCTCCTTAGGTGCTCGTGCAGAGTTGTTCACACAACATGGGCACGAGTCTCCCCAAGAGAGGCAGGGTAATCCTTTCTCCCTTGACAGACGATGCAGCTTATAGCGTGCACCTGTCGGGGTTCGCTTTTCAAACTTATCACGAGCTTTGATAAGTTTGTCGTTCCAAGCGTCACGACCTACATCCTCGAGATTATGGATGTAGGCGTTCCACGCCTGAAGTAGTGAGGGACCATCACGTTTGTGATTCCCACTGTACCATCGATGTCTGAAGAAAGCATCGATGAAGAACTCATGTTCAGCGCGATAGTCTTTCGCGCTGGGGTCAAGGTGATGAATCCTCGACGAATCGAACAATCGTGTTCGATAACGATCACTCGTCGTCGCCGACAAGTGATCCATGACAGATTTAGGAGGCATCCATGCCTTCTTTTCTGGAGCGAGACGCAACACATTGCGGTCCCGCTCTTCCTGCGACGTGCCGACAGAAGTACTGGCACCTCGCTGTGAAGTGGTGTCCATTGGAGAAACGACACCACTATTAGCGCCCGAGTCTCGCGACCTCGAGCGCCTTCGCTTCGGCGATGGTTCATCTGACTCATCAGATGAACCAAAGATGCTGCGACGCAAAGCATCGTCCATGCCACGCTTGGCAGGCGGCTTGGATTCAATTGCCGTCGATACGGATCCGTCATCCGTTTCAGGAGAGTACGAGACACCGAGCTCGTACTCTGTGAAGACACGAGTGTCTTCATGACCAGCGCCTGCATCACCAGGTGATACAGGCTGAGTCGATTCAGCAACCGATGGGACATCAGTTGCTGTAGTTTCTGCTTCGGCGTCCGCACAGAGACGTGCAGACGCGCTCTCGGCGGCCTTGCTCGCGCATCGCATGGGCTTGTTTACCATGCGATGAGATGTTGGAAAGTGGACGCGGTCCAACAAGTGCAAACCCCGTCCCAAATGATTTGGGACGAGTATCCATTTAGTCAATCAGTCACTAAAGTGACTGATGGTTAGGGGGGGGTGATGTAACGGGGTGAATCGTTACATAACAATTTATAAGAAATTGTTAATAGAATATAACTATAAGAGTTATATTCTCAGAATATTGTCATAAGGACAATATTCTGTAGCACTTCCAAGTAGTTCGTAATTGGTTGATATAGGCCATTATATCAACCAACGAAGACGCGCCACGACAGACGCACGCAATGAGTGGTGAGCAGATAACTGATTTACACATTTGTATTTAGACATAGTTAGATGAAGATAAATAGTGATTTATTGCAGACATTAACTATTATAAATACAGTTCTACTTTTTACTCTAACCAAGTACTCGCTTCTTCTTACCGTCTTCCTCTGCACGTACGAGTGTACGTGAAGTTACGAGGCACCGCCTTATTCTGTTATCAGAATAAGTAGCTTGTACTGTCACCAGTACAAGCTTCAGGGTGCCCCGTTACATGGTGTATGTACTCGAGATTGGTCTTGCAGTCCAGCGAGCAGAATGCACCTGCTATGCTTCGGAGTGAGGACAGCGACATGAAGAAAAGACGCTGGCAGTTGGCGCAGTACGTCTGTCGTTGGCGCCAACTGCCAGCTTTGTGCGTGCCTTCATCAGCCGATCTTTGTCTTGGTACTCGATCCGATGTCAGCTTTCTCGATACCGACGAGCTGCTGGAAATTGCAATACTCGTGCTTGCTGGCGGCCGACTTGCAGGGACTGGCTCCACAACGGCGACGCAATCATCTCGTCCTGACCAAGACTTTGATTGCTCATTTTGTGTGCGTCTACGACGTCGAAAGATGAACTGAATCATACGCGATTTCAAGTTTGCAGGAGATGCGAACACTTCATGCTTGCGACTACATTTGGTCTCTTTACAAACTGGCTGAGGTCGGTAGTATTGGATGCGTGTAACGTGTGTCATGAGGATACGAATACCGCAGCTGTCGTAGTAGCTGTTGTCGTTGCTTTCGGAGTTGCTGACTACGTGAAGGTAAAGTGAAAAGTGGTCCAAACGGCTGCGATCATACGCCCGATATCTGATTCGGCGTCGGCTTCTTCTGACCTCCGTCATGCAACTACGCTGAACCACTCAGACCGTCTCGCGTGCCGTCTCGCGTGCCGTCTCGCATGTCATGGCAGTACGCGACGAGGTTCATGATGAGCGTTGCAATCAATGACTGGTCACTCACTCACTACCCAATGGCTCAGAGGCTGATGTTCCTGATACGTATCCTGGACCGGATCAGAACGATACTGTTGGGGTAGTTGGATGTAAAAGCCGAAGTGAATATATTTAAGGTCCTTAGTTCACTACCCTTAGCTAAGTCTAAGCCTTAATGTTACGACATCCTGTGATCTCATCATGTAATCGCGATCCATAACCTTCTTCCGTAATAACCACCATGAAACACCCTGACACAGAAATCATCACCATGAACCCAACATGAAACGACTGCACGAAGCGGCGTATTCTCAACACTCCCACTCGCCGCTACTGCTTGGTTTCTTTGCACTGGATACTGTTTGCATCGCGCAGGAACTTGAACGTCTTGGATCCTAGCGCCTTGGTCAGTATGTCGGCCAATTGATGTTTGGTTTCCACATACGCTACCGCAACCGTCCCGTCTTCGATCGTCTCTCTGATGAAGTGATGACGGATGTCCACATGCTTGGTCCGAGCATGATAACCAGCGTTTTGGGCCAAAGCAATCGCTCCTTGATTGTCCTCCCATATCTGGGTAGCGTTCATTTGTACCATTCCCATGTCCGTCAGTATCGCACGCGTCCATAGCACTTCCTGAACGCATAGGCTTAAAGCCATATACTCAGCTTCCGCTGAGCTGAGGGCAACCGTTCGTTGGAACTTAGATTTGAACATCACCGGAGCGTTCCCAATCATGATCATAACCCCCGAGACAGAACGCCTGTCGTCGAGGTTGGAACCCCAGTCCGCATCCGAGTAGGCTTCAGCTGTGACGCTGCCAGTACCACCTTTGTAGATGATCCCGTGCTGGCGAGTCGTCTTTAAGTAGCGTAGAACACGTATAGCAGCGTTCCAATGCTGCGCCCCGGGATTCTCCAGGAAACGAGAAAGTTGCGTTACCACGAATGAAATGTCCGGGCGAGTACACGTCGTGATATACAGTAGGCATCCAATTAAGGAGCGGTAAGGTCTCGATTGCATCTTTCTTCGCTCTTCATCCGTTGCTGGCGATTGCGACTTTGACAACTTAAGACCAGTTGCACACGGGTTGTCAATTGACTTAGCGTTCTCTTGCCCGAACCGTTTCGCCACATCATCGATGTATCGCGTTTGCTTAATCATAAGCGTTCCAGCAGTCATGTTATGGTCGATCTCCATTCCCAGGATAAATTTCGCCGGTCCAAGCTCCTTCATCTTAAAGACACTCTTGAGTGCGTTTTTCACGTCATCAATTTCATCACTAGTCTTCGCCGCAATGATCATATCATCTACGTAAAGACAGACGTAAATGAAATTGCTCTTGGAACGCTTGACATAGACGCACTGGTCCGCACCACAGCTCTTGAATCCGTACCCAAGAAATACCCGATGAATGGTTTTGTTCCAGGCACTTGCAGCTTGCTTCAGTCCATAGATGGCCTTGTTCAGCTGGCACACATAGTTCTGAGCGTTCTCAACGCCAATTGGTACCTCCATGTAGACACGGTCCTCCAACTCACTGTTGAGGAACGCTGTGTCAGCGTCCAACTGTTCCATCTGGTACGCGAAAGCAGCGCAGACGGAGAGCACAACTCGAATCGAGTTCATGTTCGCCACAGGAGAGTACGTTTCAAAAAAATTCCACTCCGTACTTCTTCTTGAAACCCTTCGCCACCAACCGCGATTTGAAGCGCACCACGCGACCGTTCTGGTCACGCTTCTTGGCGAGCACCCATCTGCACCCAATGGTACGGATAGCCGTTCCTCGTGGAACTAATGTCCAGGTATTGTTTCGTTTATGAGAGAGCAGTTCAGCATCCATGGCTTCACGCCACTGTGTTGAATCTTCACTGGCAATTGCCTGAGCGTATGTTGTAGGAAGATCCACTGTGTCAATGCTTGCTGCGTACGCGAGGACGGCTTCAGCAATAAGGCCGTCTTCATCGATCCTGGCACGCTTCGGATAGGACGGTCCATCTCTTCCTTCCGACTTCCGTTCTTCCTCTGCGTCCGTTCCCTCTTCAAGAAGGAAGACTGGTTCCCGGGAACTTCTAAAACGGTCTCTAGGGGTATGGAACACCACTTGATCGTCCTCGAAGATAGTCGGTGGTCCACGGTACGGTTCCAACTCAAATCCAGTGGGAGCTGACCGTCCTTGTGGCATCAGCAGCGGCGGTATAGCGTCCTGTATCGGTTGCATGCTCTCCATCTCTACATCCGGTGCGTCGTTCTCAACGCCTTCCATGGGTTCCGCTTCGACGGGTTGAAGTTCCACTGGTGCGAGCGTGACTTCATCATCGGCGTCTGTGCTAACATGAATAACTGTTTCGATCTGAGCAGGTAGTGTATCGTAAATACCATCTACCTCACGCTCGTCCAATTTCACCGAGCGAGAAACTTTGACCTTGGAAGCGTCCAAGTCATAGACACGGTAACCCTTGACGTTTTCTGGGTATCCGAGCAGCAGACATCTAAAGCTCTTAGGTTCAAGCTTCGTCCTCTTCGCTTCGTCAATGTGAGCGTACCCGCGAGAACCAAATACGCGTAGGTGATCTAGCGTAGGTTTCACTTTGAAACCTAGCTCAAACGGTGTTACGGTTGCGTTGTGCGTGTTCGTTGAACGGTTGATTCGATATACCGCAGTACTAACTGCTTCAGCCCACCACTCCATTGGAACGCCCTTGTAGTATAGCATACTTCGAGATCTCTCCATGATAGTTCGGTTCATCCGTTCTGCCACTCCATTCTGCTGAGGGCTATACGGGACAGTCCGTTGGTGCACGATACCGTTCAGCATACATATCTTCGTCATCTCTTGGTTAACAAACTCCGTTCCGTTATCCGATCGTAAACACTTCATGCGCTCTCCCCATTGATTCTCATAGAAATTCATGAGCTCTCTAAGCTTAATGGCCACCTCGCTCTTCTTTTTCAAGAAATAGGCCACAACGTAGCGCGAGTAGTCGTCCACGAACGTCAGGACATACTTGGCACCACCTTTCGAAGGATTATTCATTGGTCCCATCATATCCGTGTGGACGAGCTCAAGAACGCGCGACGTCTTCGAGCTGGAACAATGCGGAAATTTAGCCACCGTTTGCTTCCCCTTCATGCATCCGCCGCACAAAGACTGGGGCGGTTGACCAACAGCCGGAATACCGTTCGTGGCATGCCTTGTCTTATCCAGAGCATCCTGGTTGGGATGCCCCATGCGAGCGTGCCAAAGCTCCCACTTGCTGTCAGCCCCGGCGTACTGGACGAACCGAGCTTCTTCTTGTTCACAGTCTAACATGTAAGCCTTGCCGACCTTCTTACCCTTCGCAATTGCGCTAGCCGCTCCCCATATAACACATGAGGAACGCTGAAACTCCACGTTCAGTCCACGATCCGCGAGCTTCCCCACTGACAACAGACTCCGATCGAGGCCCGGTATGTGAAGAACTTCAACCATCTTAATCCGTTTACCGTCCAGTCCAAGCAAGAGTACCGTACCACGTCCAGTGACCTGCAGCTTCTTTCCGTCAGCGATTGTTACTTCGATGCCACCATTCACGTTCTCATACTCGAACAGATCGGAACGGTGCGGGGTCATGTGGGCGGTCGCGCCGCTGTCAATCAACCATCCGTTTACACGTTCTGTGCTCACAACAAATACCGCATCGCCGTCTGTTGTTCCCTCTTGACAGTCCCGCTTCATGTGCCCAACTTTGTTGCACTTGAAACACTTGCCTTGGAAACCACTAGAGTTCTTCTTCTGATCGCTCCACTTGCGACCACTCCTCTTGTTGCCCTTGAAACGTCCAGCGTTGACCTTAAATGCTCGTTCCGAAGTCGTGTCTTTCTTCTCCAACCGTTCACACTCCTTCAACAGCTTCTCTTTCACCTCGATGAGCGTGATGTCCTTGACGTTCTCGATGATCGACGATATCAGCTCGTATTCGGCTGGAAGGCTGCTCAGCAGCACTACTAGCTGCCGTGCCTCGTCGACGGGCTCTCCAAGCGTCTGAAGACCGACAACGAGCTCGTCGAAAGCGTCCAAATGCTTTGCCATGGCCGTTCCAGCATCCATCTTGAATTCGTGGAGGCGCCGTGTCATCGTGACCCGATTGTGGAGTGTAGTGCGATTGTAGAACTCCCTAAGTGTTACCCACGCTTGAATAGCACGCGTCGACGAACGGATCTTTGTCTGGTGTTGTAGTTCCACACCCTGCGCGATGATGCCGAGAGCCTTTGCGTCATATACTAACCAAGCTTCCGTTATCTCAATCTCCGCCTTGACCACCTCCACGTGCGCCAGCAGTCCTTTTCTGGCGAGCGACATCCTCATATTGAACTCCCAATGGAAATAATTTCCACTTCCTAGGAGGACTTCGGCGCGCTTGGTACTCATCATGTGCGAGGCGAGGCGTTCTCGGTCTTGACGCCACTGTCCGAGTTGCGGCTGTTAACCTGTTGGGGTAGTTGGATGTAAAAGCCGAAGTGAATATATTTAAGGTCCTTAGTTCACTACCCTTAGCTAAGTCTGAGCCTTAATGTAACGACATCCTGTGATCTCATCATGTAACCGCGATCCATAACCTTCTTCCGTAATAACCACCATGAAACACCCTGACACAGAAATCATCACCATGAACCCAACATGAAACGACTGCACGAAGCGGCGTATTCTCAACAGATACACCTCCATGACGACCACAACACGTCCGTTCGACATGCAGATTGCGATGTATGAGTGACGAGGAAGGGTCATCAGATCGCAAACACCAGTGTTCGGATCGTCGTCTCGCAGCTGAATCGAGCAGAACGCAAGCCATCCGCTCGAAGCTTAAGTTCAAGAGAGAATCAGAGGCTCGAGAGAGAATCAGAGGCTTGCATGGGACGAGTTGCTGCGAGTTCGCGATGATACACCAAGTGATTTCGAACAATGCTGCACAAGCTAAGGCGGTAGATACGGAAGCACGAAAGCCATAGGATCGTATTACATGCCTCGTAGCGCTCAGCGCTTGTGTCGACACTAGCCGACAGTCATGTCGCCTGAATCGCTGTCTGGATTGATGTCCTGCACAATTATGCAAGGTGCACGTCGAGCAGTGACATGTATCACACTGATGAACTCGTGAAGTCATAGGAGCACGAAACGTCATCGATATACGGACGGAATCGTTTGATTTTGATTCGTGAACATGCAAACGGATTCTCAATCAGTCGCATGCACGAAGACCACTAGAAGATGAAAGTCGTCTTACTCCAAGGATGTCAAAGGGTATTGCACCATCTTACGCGTTGCCAAGCTGCTGCACCGTTGATTCTCACGATTGATGGTGGTGATGTCGAGGCAACATACTCCGACAAAAGAGGTGTCGAGTTTTAGCGCACAAGACAGTACGTCGGATTTGATCCAATCTACTGTCACTTGTACGCAAGACAAAAGAGAGCTGATCCGACCGACAAGCGATCACGTAAACGCCAATCGAAGACTCAGTATCTGTCATCGTCAAACACGCACATGGTCTCTCTGATGCAGACACAGCACTCAGTAGCTCACATCCGTTTACAGTGGTATCACGGCTGGTGTATTGACGATGACCGCCTTGTGCTCACCCAGTGGACTGCATATTGGCGGAGCATACAGTAGTGACGCGCATTTCAATGTTGATTCTTCGTGTGGTCATGCAACGTTATATCGACATTCCGACCTCGCAAGTTGGTCTGATGATTCACCTGGATACTTCGTCAATGCGGATGAGACCACCGTGGTCATGCTTGACGCCTCCACGTTCGACCTGGCGAATAACAGCCATCAAAACGACTCACTTCAAGTTGTCTTTCGTCTGGATAAATAGCGATGCTCTTTGTCTTACTCCTCCATCCTACCAACGGTCACGTCTAGTGTAGCCTTCTCCGTCCGATGTCACAACGTCTATCTGACTACCGATGCACGACGCACGAGGTCCAAATCGGTCCAAATCGTCAACACCGGTAATCACCCGCGAGGTGTTCGCTTTTGTTTCATACATCGCGTCTTCCAATCCGCTGCTGATTGTGCTGCTCTCCCATGTCTGCTTGAACGTCACGTCCTGAATCTGGTGTATGTACTCGAGATTGGTCTTGCAGTCCAGCGAGCAGAATGCACCTGCTATGCTTCTGAGGGAGGACAGCGACGTGAAGAAAAGACGCTGGCAGTTGGCGCAGTACGTCTGTCGTTGGCGCCAACTGCCAGCTCTGTGCGTGCCTTCATCAGCCGATCTTTGTCTTGGTACTCGATCCGGTGTCAGCTTTCTCGATACCGATGAGCTGCTAGGAATCGCAATACTCGTGCTTGCTGGCGGCCGACTTGCAGGGACTGGCTCCACAACGGCGACGCAATCATCTCGTCCTGGCCAAGACTTGGATGGCTCATGTTGTGTGCGTTTCCGACGTCGAAAGATGAACTGAATCATACGCGATGTCAAGTTTGCAGGAGATGCGAACACTTTATGCTTACGACTACATTTGGTCTCTTTACAAACTGGCTGAGGTCGGTAGTCTTTGATGCGTGTAACGTGTGTCATGAGGATACGAATACCACAGCTGTCGTAGTAGCTGTTGTCGTTGCTTCCGGAGTTGCT